GTCGAATGACGATGCAAAGTGTAATAATTTAATAATGAAAGTAAGATGCTTGTGGCTGCAATTAGGATGATAAAACCCTAGAGAAGCCTGTGTGGCTACAATTAAAAAGTTTCCTTTGTTCATAGTTGCAAGCTGGGCCGAATACACTGCAACGGGACGAATACGGACCACTAGGATTGACGGATTTCTTGGCAAGACCTTGGGAAGATCGAAGTAAGTATTCGTCAAGAAAAAAAAGACTATTCTCATCACATTAGGAAAGAAGAACATTTCCGAGAGAACACCATGGCAAATATTAGTTTCCATGTAGACACTAATTAACTGAAACTGAACTCGAAAAAGTATAAAGAAAGTTATAAGTTTTAATAAACCAAGAAATATATACACTCTAAAAGACATACATGTATTTTATTTATATATATATATATATATAATTTATTACTGCTCTGTTATAATTGCACTATTATAATTAAATTATTCTTTCATTGTATATAACATTTTTTAATTATGTGAAATATTAAACTTCTTTGGTCCCTCTTTTTCATTTGTTTCTTTCGAAATAATGAAGAAAAAGCGCATTTCTAGAAAGCAATGACAGAATTTGAGCATATGGAGATAACTCGCAAATATTTGCGTTAAATATATTATGGAATAATTTTTACATTTCGCATCGTAGAAACGGTAAATTGGAAACTTGACGTGAATAAATAGACGAATGAATTATGCCTAACCCAATATATATCGCGCGACAGAGATCAACAGACGTGAATAAAATAAAATAAAATAAAAACATACAAACATACATACAAATCGTCCTACTTAACAGAAAAAAAAAATTTTTAACGCTGGAAACTTTTTACAAATACACGCGATTGACGCGTTAGATAATTCGCTACTTTAACTTTTATCTTAAATTATTAGCGCGTACGCCTCATCTAATTATATAGTGAATTATGTATTATCATGGGAGAGAAAATGATGCGTGATCGATACAGCACCGAGGCTACTATACATAAATTATATTCCTTTGCCCTTTGATGTATTACTTCTACGCTATCCGATCTGTCATCGGAATTGCGTGTCAAAAGATTGATCCGATATGGATATACATCTTGTACTTACATCATAGACTTCAATTAATTACTTGTAGGAGTGTCAATCGATCATATTAACATATCGCTTAACATTACTTGACCATAAATACGAAATGAAATTAATTAAAACTAATTAAGTGATTAATTAATGTCAGAAAAGAGAACAAGTAAATATATTATTGCAAATAGGAAAGTTATTGAAAAAGAAATAAAATTTTTCAAAAGTAAGAAAATGGACTCTTGTCATTCATTGAAATATAAATTGAAATACAGATTTATAAATAAAATACAATTCTTGACTCTCCGTATTTCAAGTATTTGTATTCCTTCTGTATTTGTTTTCTTTCTCTTAGAAAATGTTACAATTTCAAATGTAACATTTTCTAAGAGAAGGAAAAAGCTAATATTTTTCTTTATTCTTTGTAGAAAGATAACATTTAAAAAATGGAAAAGTACTATGAAGTTAAATAACATGTATGAGATAAATTTTTCTAGAATTTTTAGAAGAAAATAATAGAATATTAGAACTTTTTTTACTGATTGTTATTTATGGACAATATTATTTATTAATAAAATAAAGCGTGGGTATTACTTCAGACAATTGTGATGGAAATTTAATTATAGAATGTATATTGTTTCGTAGAATTAATGTGTTAAAATTAAATAAGAGAATAAATAGTATATATAGAATAGATGAGTGCTTATACGTACATCGAATATTATCATGGTAGATAAAAAGAAGCATGGTTTATAGAAGTATGGTTTATGACGCTTATTATGGTGCATCCTTCTGACTGCGTTTTATGGCTCGATTAGAGCATTACGATCGGTGATTCAAAGGCTATAAGGTTGCCTCTGCAGAACGCCCACACTTATCTGGGAAACGATACAGTTAATTCGATTACAACAATTTGATTAACGCTCAACTTCAATCAACTCCAAAAATGTATGTCCATAAACAAGAAATATGATGCACACGTAAATATTTGAATGAAATAATCACAGTGCAATACCTACGTCATTTTGGAATACTAACAAACAGATGAAATTTTTTAAAAATAAGAAATATAGTTTATACATAAGGATTTTATTTATAAATTATTATTTTAAAGTTAAAGAATTAAATATGTAGAATATGTATTTGTACAAGTTGTATTTTTTAGAAATCTGATTTTAATCGATTTTTTATACTGTGCTATGACCAGGGATCCGGACCGGACCGAAATCGAAACCGATAACCGGATCGTAATCGTTATTTCAGTTGGATCGAAACTGAAAACCTGAAATATTAGGCAGGCTAATGGATCGGAACGGTAACCGGACCGAAAATTTTTTTTTTCGGGATTTTGGTTCGATTTTCGGTCCAGTTTTCGGTTCGGGTTTGCTAAATATTTTATAAGGCGGGATCTACAGTAAAGTCGCAAAATCGTAATAGCGATCATACTCGCGATAATCAATCAAAGAGTTCTGATTGGCCGTTGCGACTAATATTACGATCGCTATTGCGACTTTGCGATCTATTGTAAATCCCACTTAAGAATTATTTATTTGGGGGAATTGAAAAATCGCTAATGGTAGCTCATTAAATTGTTCGAAGTCCAAATGCCCATATGTATATGGCGATGCAAAAAAAATTTCCGCGCTCCTGTGCACTTGAAACTAGAAACAGAGTAGTACACTTTTATTCTATAAATCTATAGTTCCTTTAATCCGCGTTATAGAGTATTCCATAGATAGATATAATAAGAATAAATTGCAATCCCATTTACAAGTTTCGAGAAGAAACCTCCCATGATTTATTATGATTAACTTTTTCTTCAATAAACATGATTTTTTTTTATAATATGCGACTTATTATACTTGTATTTTTTTTATGTAAATTAAATTTTACAATAGATAATTATCCATAACCGTAACCGAGACCGAAAAAGATCGAAATTCAAACGATTACGGTCATCGTTATCGGTAAAAAGACGAAACCGAAACCGAAACCGAAAATTTGATATAGCTTCGGACCGTAACCATAACCGGGCCGAAATTTCATTTCGATCCGGATCTCTGGCTATGACGTTCCATGTTCCAACATATTTTCTTGCTCAACCGAATTCACGCGCAAAGCTAAATAATAAATTCATAGTCGACAATAGAGATTGCGTTTTTCAACGGAATATCTCGAACTTTTATTAATATTTGGAGTATGATCAAAACTGGTGTAACAATGAAACATTTATATGCGTGGCAACGCGTTGATACTTCAAATACCCGTTATTTATTCACATTGTCATCTCGATCCTTTTTTGGCTTCTATCTTCCTTGTACTGCGCATACTACGCGTTTGTCATTCATTGTGTATTTTCATATTAGATCGCGTTATTAATCATTTATTTGGCGCACGTGCGTCCAGCGGTTTGGATATAATCATTGTGCCAAACTAAAAGTTTCGCGCAGACCGGCCGAGCTTTAACAACTCGCCTGGGAAATTTACCAGCTCTTTATTCTCATAATTCTCGCGGAGGAAATTTCGCGCGTGTGCGCTGAAAATTTTCGTGGAAACATGCCACGTGTGAAATATTCGCCGTGCCTGCGGATTGTTTTTCGTAAAATCGCGCAACCAACGTCGACAGGAGGTAAGCGTGATAACAGTTTAGGTGTGAAAATTCGCTAATGTTTGCGCGCATGCCACGCCATTGTTTGTTGCATGGTTTTGTTGCACCCATGGGGGCAACTCCGACTTTTATTATCAATTATACGATAAAATTCACCTCACGCGACGCTACGATGACTTCGATAAATGGATGTGTTATATACACGATGTGATAAAGAACTTAAGGAAATCAATATGTTTTTTTTTTTTGCAATAATAACTGGAAAACTATTGTCGGATGATATCAATCAATATGATTTTGCATGTATTTGTTGTAATTATAAATAATATTTTTAGTTTTTAATTATATAAATTATAGTTTCTTTACGCGTCTGTAAAAATATTATTGAAATGACTTGGCAAGGTCAAATATTATTATTCTTCCAAACATTAATTTATGGCGCATGTCATAGATGGTCGCACAAATCATAATTGTAAATCGACATTGAGAGTAAACGTGAAATGAAGATTGAAACTACTGAAGCATGTATTGTAATTTCGGTGAAATTTAGATTTTGATACAAAATTAATCCCTCTATATTTATTGTATTCTGCATGTTTACTATTAATTTATTCGGCTCAATGCAAATGCGATATGAATATTTCAATGTAATTAATAGCGTAATAAATATTCACCAAAAGTATCAATTTCGTTCCCCGAATAGAAAGCCGTAGTAATTTCTCTCTTTTATCATTGTAGAGACGAACCAGGACACGAAGCGAAACTTGGATCAGATCGGCGGTGGACATCTCGTGAGAAATGCTGACAAGCAATTGAAACGTTTATTAGATGGCGAAGAGGGTCGCTTGACTCAATATTTAGATTCCGTCAATGACGAGCAAATACTCGACGCGAGCCCCGAGGAGGGACTTTTGGCCGATCGATTTCGTAATGGAATTCTTTTTAATTCTTCCATCAATCCTACGGCGTTCGTGAATGCAATGAATCCCAAGCTAAATGCCGGTCAAACAAATAATAAATTATTCATGAATCAACTTACCGATGACATTCCGTACAATGCAGATAGACGAATTGCTAGAACTCTAGATCAGATCGGTGGTGGGCATCTGTTGAGAAATTTGGACCAGATCGGTGGCGGACATTTGGTGAGAAATCTAGATCAGATCGGTGGCGGACATTTGGTGAGAAATCTAGATCAGATCGGTGGCGGACATTTGGTGAGAAATCTAGATCAGATCGGTGGCGGACATTTGGTGAGAAATCTAGATCAGATCGGTGGCGGACATTTGGTGAGAAATCTAGATCAGATCGGCGGTGGAAATCTGGTTAGAGGTATCAATTATCTGAACGCAGAAATGAAAGAGCGCGATGCTCAACCTGTGAGTGCTTCGGAGAAACTACATTTTATGCGAAATCTGAATCAGATCGGAGGTGGAAATCTTGTGAGACACTTGGATCAGATCGGAGGCGGAAACCTCTTGCGAAACTTAGATCAGATTGGCGGCGCAAATCTCGTGAGAAGCTTGAATTGATTATGCTTGATTGATGCCTGATGGATCAGTATGCAGGATGAGGAAAAGGGATGTAGAACGGCTTAGAAGTGATTGCATTAAGAACGCGGAAGAGCTCCTATATTGATTTTTAATTTTAGTTACTGTGATTTTTTCTGAGTTCTAATATCTAACATGTATATTCTAAAGAATTAATTCTATGTAAAGAAATCGAACAATTGCATTTAATAAAACATGCAATCGGAACATGCAGTTTTGTTTTAATTAAATCCATCGCATAATAAGCGGAGCAATTCAATTAAAATTAAAAAAAAGTATATAGAAAGCAACAATCTATAAATTATACAAATTCGCATTTTTTATTTTTTACCGTTTAATTCTGAAAAATTATTTTTTCAGTATCGTGTTTCTATGCTTTTATAAGCAATAAGACACATTAACAATATGCAAATTAAAATAACTTTTAAAGTCAAATTAGATTTAAATATATGTTTTGTAACATAATTTAAAACAAACTAAAATGAAAAGTGTTTTATAATTTTTACACACACATATATATATATATATATATATATATATATATATTTATTTAACTAA